TGGCTGCTGCTGTCACGAAATCTGCCGTTCCCAAAGAGTCTGCTGGGCAGAGAACCCTGTCGCACCGGGTCTTCCCATGGAAGAAGGACATGCAGTAGGCAAACTGCTGTATTGGCGCAGGTTGTATGTACCGCAGACGATGCGGTGCACGAACGGAGGACAGCTGCGAGACACTGACTACTACGAATATGTTGGAGAAGAAGTGCAACATGTTGTAGAGGGCAAGACGGGAGCGAACTTGTTGGGGACAAATCCACAGGACCCACACAATGCCGATACAACCCCCCGTTTGTCCACTGCATACCCGTAGTTTGAGAATCACGCACGCCGAGTAGGGAGCAGCAGTGGCAGCTGTTTCGGGCTGCCAGGCCATGTTTCACGTACGGCCGTGCCCTTGCCACGTGCCAAGGAAAACCAGGCCAATTCGCTGCTGCTCTTGGCAGACGAACCGCTGAAATGAATATGTGTGGAATGCAGAGCATCAACGCATCGAGCACCAAGTCCAACGAGGTGACGGCAACGACGGCGACCATCACCCTCGGCGGACGAACAGGCATTGCGATCAGTAGTACCGTTTGGACCGCGATGATGGCGAGGATAGAAGGTGACAGCAGAGGTGAAGCAATTTCAAACCACACATCATCTGGTAGTGCACAATGTACACGTCAACGCCAAGCCGAGGTACGTCACGATGTAACAACAGAGACACCGTTAAGCTCACCAGCTATCTTGTTGTCCTTGTGATCGGCGGCGGCCCGCGGAACAGGCTTTCCCAAGGCAAGCACGGCAACAGGTGCGGCAGGCTCTGCAGTCCAATCCAGTTGACGCAGGGGTTCGCGGGAGGTACCTCACGCTATCCCAATATCGAAACTGCGGCGCCCCTACATCAAGTGCATTTCGTTCAAATTCAAAACACAAGATCAGCTACATGCCTGTAATATCACACATGCCCGGGTGGTCAAGTGGGTACCTTCGCGGCCTATCCAGTGTCAGGTCACGGGATCAAGTCCCGGCAGGTTGAGTTTTTTCTCACCGAATAAATCTTGGTCCAAGTGGGAAGCGACGCGCTGCGAACCTCGTGTGTTAGTAAACTTGATCGACTTCGTAAGTCGCGCGGGAATGGAAGGGGAAGGAAATGCTGCATGTACCCTTCTCGCGATGAAAACATCTCAGGCAGGAACCGCAGGAGGGGGGTGCAGCCCCCCCCTCATATGTTGTTGTTGTTTCTCACACTAGCTCTATAGTCCACAAAGATGGGTTAGCCCCCCTAATATATATCTAGACTATGTTGTTTCTCACATTATTACAGTGCCGGAAAGTGTGAGCCCGAATACGGGTGCTTTGAAAAAAAAAATAACCTTCTTCAACGAATTGAGCGGAACCAAAATATTCGTGAGAAAGCTCTCGCCAGCAGCGATCGAATAAGACTATCCACAGCGCGGGGTTTTCGTTTTTGAGAAAGATATGGCTCCATTACCATCAATGCAGAAGGCACTTCATCCCACAAGAATCGCCATATCTCGATAACTACGGCGAACCCCGCGAAAAAAATTGCAGATTTGAAAAGCTCTCTTTCAGAAGTATTTTACTGCGGCGGAATCATCCCCGAGCGTGGTGAAGAAGAACTTAAAAAAAATCAGAACCAACATTTTCAAATTTTTCGCCCACATCAGCCCCAACGGCTGCCACACATGAAGAATTCGCGGTCCACGCCCATGGCTTTTAAGCTGCGCGACAAGCCTTTGGCGACCATACTAGCAACCTTGGCTCAACGTGGTGGTGAGCTGGTCAGTGTGCGTCAGGAGAAGAGTCCAAAGAAGTATCGTGTGGAACTGACGGCGCACGTGCATGGATCCGAACAGCGCTGGTGCAGCCCATACATCAAGTGTCCGAAAGGCAGAAACACGGGTCGCGACTGGGCGGCCGAGGACCGGTTTGCTGCTACCTGGCGGCCATCCTTCTCTAGCGGCAACGTTCCCCACACTGATGCAAGTGCAGGCGAAGCCGAAGCTGCGCCTCCCCGAGAAAAGCGGCCGCGGGACTGTCGGCATGCTGCGGCATCCACGGAGGACGCACCGGCTGCAAAGGTCGGCGGAGCACGCCCTGGATCAGGCAGGCCAAAGGGAAGCTACGGCTGGAAGA